GCTTGATTTCCTGGCAGTTATAAACGGTGTGGACAATAACCATAAAAATATGTTCATGAAGACATTTTTTTTTATTGTGCAGTAAGACCTTAAACTAAGTTTTATACTCGGGTCTTGGTTGTCTATGTTGACCACAAAAGAATGCAATCTCTTTTTTCTTCCTTACCTCTGTGGTATGTATATACAGGTCTTGTATGCCATTGCTTTTTTTTTTTTTTAGAGCTTTATCTCTTCCCTGTTGCCAGTGTTCAAACTGAGAATAAGTGAACAAAAGAGTGCTTTTGAATGAGTTCAGACTGCTCTCCACTGACTGTGTTCTTTGAAAGGTTGACCAAATATCAGACTAATCTTGAGGCATCAAAAAAGAAATCTCAGAAATTCACAAAGAATCACAGTGAATAGATTAAATTGAAAAGATTTTGATAGCAAATCTATAAAAGTGGCTGCATTATCATTCCAGGGTTCAGAGAGAGACAAAGAGGAGTTGCACTTAGACTGTTTGATTGTGAGTTGAGATTTAGGCATTTGTGACTGTGGGACTATTTGTTTGAACACTTTGTTGAATAAGCTTAGGAAAATGAATTTATATTAAGTACAGCAACATAATTTGCAACAAATAAAGCATAAAAAATAAATGTGGTGTATTAATGCATGATTCTGTTTTATTTCAAGCCGGCATATTTCCCACAAAAGGTGCAGCTCGTGCACATGTTGCAGGTCATGTTAAAACTGCACATCCCATCTTTGTTGGAAGGATTCAGGGGAATTACTCGTGGAACAAAAAAAAAAATCCTGGGGAAGTCTGCACATGCCTCCTGTAGCTTTCCAAACAATCAAAATTTTTACATGAATCGTTTTAAATGCTTTGCTCTGACTGCAGCTACAAATAAGCACAGTGGGTAGCTGCCTAGAATGGTCATTTTGGCTAACTGCATAGGGATCTACATCTGGGTCACCTCACCTGCTGGCTGACTTCAATGGTTATTTTGACAGCAGTTATGTTCGAAATCAAACGGTGTGACTGCTCAAACCGCAGAACAGCTGATCAGTGATTTTACCATCATCACACCCCCCAGAAGTTACACATTAAATGACGACTGATTTGGAGAAAAATTGGGCCAACTCTAAAATTTATTTGGGGCTAAAAGTCTGTATGGTATCCTTGCAAGGTTTCTGTGACTAAAATGCACATTTTCTGTTAAATCAAATGTGTTTCAATACATTACAGCTCGAGGAATTTGATTAACTATAAATATTTTGTGTGCTTCAGTGCTTTAAGGTGAATTAAAACCACTAGAATATGTAATACAGGAGGAATAAATACGGGACTTTGTGTTATTACTCATTGAGAAGCTGGTTAAAATATTTATCCGTGACATTTCCTTTATTTAAAAAAGTCGTAATGGAAGTCTGGGCTTCTTAAGTGGCAGGGGCTTCTCAGATATCATTACTAAAAGCCTGGGAAACACGTGTGCGTGTGATATGTTGTGAGTATTCGTATGAGAATGTGTGCACATATGTGAGAGAGACTTTGGGTGTCTTAGATGTTTTTCACAGTTCATCTGTCTTGACATCTGGCCAAACAGCTGGACTCATCTGGACAAACACTCACAGACAGTCCACGCTTTTCCAAGTGCTTCTCCTCTCAGACTTCCTTACACTTTTCCTCTCCTTCTTACTCACCCTTGATTTGTTTGTCTCCCATGTGCACGATATGGTACATTTATATTTATCTATTTTTCATTGTGTATACATGCACATGTTCTTTAACTTGTTTTCTTAAACTTTAATTGTAATGTCTAGTGTAACATAGTATATTTATGTGTTTATCTGTGCATGATTTCCAGAAAGGAAATGTGAACCATATGTAGGCCATGTTCAACATTCCAGGACTTTAAGTTCAACAAGCTTGCCATTCATAGTGAACACTCTGTGATCTCTTAGGGACAGCTGATACTGGCCAATGTTCCATCCTTGTACTGCAACATGTAAAATGCAGCTTTTGATATCTTGAATGGAAGTTCTGGTTAAACACTGAACAGTTATAAACCTTGGTTGGTTTTTACATTTTAGCTTTACATGCATAGCAAAATAGTAATTTTGATTTTTTGTTTTTTTTTAAAGAATTGAATTAATGACTTAATTGATAAATTCTTTTTGAAAACGGTCTTTTTTTTGTTTAAAAACTGAGCATAGTGTTATTTCAGGCAGACCGTCAGCGGCTCAGTGCCAGCCCACATCAACTGAGGGTTTGGCTGATGTCCTTTTTTGCATCCAACTGTCAAGTCTAATATAGGGTATGTTATTTAAACTGCCCACAGTTGCTGTGCCTCTGCAAGCCACTTCGCAACTCACTCCAATCCCAGGTCCTCTGTTCAAGCTTTATCTGACTTATCTGTGTCATCGTTGTTTCTGTAGGAGGTCTCTGCTATATTGGTATCCCTCAAAAGCAAGTCATTATATCTCAAGGAAAATTCCAATAATTTTATGTCAATAGGTAGGGGTGGGGGAAAAAAATCGATACTGTGTAGTATCGTGATATTTTGTTCGCTAATAATGTATCGATACAGGAACAGCAGAAATCGATATTTTGTTACAAAAAAAGTTTTTGTGGACTGGAACATGCTCTGACTTCAGAGCATGTTGATCCTTTTTCTGAGCAAGAATCCTGACATTCCCCAAATGTGTTTAACTTGTTTTTTGGCAGCAATAAACATGACAGTTTACTTATTTTAATTTAAGACATGTTTTATTTTAATTAAGTTTAAAACTTTTTTATTTAATGTAAAATTGTATTTTGTTTTAATTTACTTTCAAATTCTTCAGTTGCTGAATGGGCTGCATAGTTTTCATAAATTGCATAGTTCAGAATAGCTATAATTGGACTAGACTATAATACAAACCGTTCAGTTTGTCAACAATAAAACTGACTGAAATGAGAGAAAGACTGAGTGTGAGACTTTGATATTAGATAAAATTGATATTGATAAAGTTTACCTTTATGTACAGAATCTGAATATCGCAAAATATTTTAAAAAATTGCAATAATATCGTATCGTGCGTTAAGTATTGTGATAATATCGTATCGTGGGATGTATGGTGATTCCCACCTCTATCAATAGGGAGAGATCACTTAGAAGACTTGAACATGATTTATTGAGATTGAGAAATTAATGTGTTTGGTAATTAGACATCATGGCAGAACAGACTCCCAGTGGTGATAGGATTTAAGACAGGAGCCCCCGGAGTCTAGACGCTGGTGGTGGTGAAGATGAAGACTGAGGCTTGGATGAAGCTCTGATGGGGAGGAGGTTAGTTGCACTGACGGTGGGCAAGAAGATGACTGGACCAGAGTCATGATGTCAGTACTGAGATTGACAGCTTGGGAAAGTGGTAGTGATGTTGTATTTTGAAATATGCTTTTTAAAGGTTTAAGCCCTGCTTTTTCAGTAACGTGTCTATCCACTGTTGCTCAGTTAAACTTATGCAGTGTAACTGGTGATTGCTGCAGCCATTCTCAGTTGAAACATTTACTTTTAGATTGCACAAAACTAGCGACTAATATTCAACTGTATGTTTTTGGTAAAACACATTTGCCATTTCCAGCAGTTTTGGTGCACAGTATTGTTCTTTGTTGGAGATTCCCAAAGTGAACTGTCACTGAAGGTTGACAGTACTCTAGCTTCCTGGCTCCATGACATATATGGTCTTGTCTCATTGTATCCACTAGGGAAATTAAATGCATCAGGATGGATTTCCATCAATCCATTCATATGATATTTTACGTCATTTAAACATTTATTGATTAAATATGTAGATTATTTGAAAACTAACTGAATGATAATAGGTCTTAGGGATGAACAGAGTGGTGTCAGCCTTACATAGATGGAGAAATGTGCTGAATGTGCATAAATATGACCTATTGTGGAATAAATTATGACAGTGAGTGGTATATCATACGTTTGGTCTTCACATTTATCCTTGATATCTGGCTTGTTGCATTTTCTTTCTGCATAAAACATCCAAGTTTCCTGAATGTCCTTCCTGCTTGAATGAACCTGCTCTCACAAGATTACCATAACAATAAGGTTGAAAACAAAGTCCTGTTAGCACAGTATAACTTTATTAATGGATTCCAAGAATATCCTGGAAAAAAAATTGGAGGATTTTCCATAATGTATGTCCTCTCCTAGTTTCTGTGGGTGGCTCCAGCAGTGAAAAATGTCCATGGTCAGAAAATGAAAGTTGCTTGAACAACATAATGCAAATGAACAGTTTTGAAACAAAAGTACAAAATTGCTCAAAGTCTGCACAGTGGAAAGCGTGCCAGAAAATATTCTGTCCATGCTTCTTTTATCAAAAGATAAAGTGATTACAGCCATTTCTATCTGTTGATGTTAAATGATGTTACCTGCTTTTGACTGCACTGAAAATACACCCAAATTAAATAGCTCGGATGATGCGAAACCCTTGCCCTCCCCCTCATGTTCCAGGCTAATTACTCATAACCTCAGTACAACAGAAATACAGGCATCATTTTGATTTGAAATACAAAACCTAAATGCAAATCAGGATGTGCTGTTCCTAACAACCCACCACGGTAGCAGTTGGCAATTGCCCACCTTTTATTTTATGCTTTGACTAAGAAATCCAGCCTGGCCTCATTTGAAGTGCTCTGAACAGACTTTAATGTGTGATTAACGAAGATCTGAATGCACAATAACATAGAACTTGCTTCGAAGTTATCATGTACTGTGTTCTTTTCTTTTTTAGATATGTTGAAAACGAGTGAACTAACTTTTGAAATATTGTAATTTTTTTATTGGATAGTTGATGTAGGTTTGCTTTTTATTTCACATTTGTTAAGATATAAAAAAAAGTAGAAGGTATATGCAGGCATCAGTACTAATGCATAAAGCTCTTTAACTTTCAAAAGTTGCATCTGTATGCAATTATACAATTACCCATGTCTGTTTTCTTTCTTTTTTTTTCTTCCCCAGGTCTGTTTCCAGCTGTGTTGAATCTAGCGACTATGGCTAATATAACAACCAATGCTACCTGTGGTTCAACTGGTCCAGAAATGTTCTGCAAGCTTGTGGAGCACGTTCCAGGACAGCCTGTTAGAAATGCACAGTGTCGAATCTGCAACCAAAGGAGTGCAAATCCCATGGGTAAGGAAGAGTCACATCCACATGAGACTTATAGTCTTAGTGATTACAACAATTAATCATTTTACATTAGTTAATTAGACTATGATTGGCCAGATGTTAACCAATCATTTTGTCTAAAACGATAATTATAGAACAAAACGAGGAATCAATTGCAACATGACAAGACGACAATACAAAATTAGCCTGCACTCATTATTCAAATAGTCTACCAGACTGTCATAATACAATGGATCAATAATTCAATTAACCGCTCAGCCAGTCAAATACCCAATCAGTTTGTCAGTGAAGCACTCCATCATTAACTAGTATCCAGTGATTAGTCAACAAACCAATTAGTCAGCCATCAGTCAGCCAGTTCATTGTTGGTGTTATTCATTAAATGGAGCCCATCCTTTTCTTTATTTTCTTATTGTATACTCTTACATTGGCGCATATTCATATAGTGATGGGCCATGGTTTAAAATAATGAGGTCAACGTGTATCCATAGTAGCCTAGTGCTTAGTCTTTAGCGTGCTCTCAACATGAGGTTTTAGAGCTTTGTTTTTTTTTTAACTTGTGGCTCTTTTTGTCCTTTTGAGCAGATATCTTTAATTACATTTTAAATATATACCATCAAATCACAACAGCAGTTTCCTCAGTGCACTTTATATTGTAAGGTAGAGATGCTACAATACTACAAGGAGAACCAGGCTCAGCGGCTATCTGCCACGACAATCCTTAATATGTTCATTGACAGTGTGTTCAGTATGTTCAAATAACAACTAGCTGTATTTTGGTAGGGTATGTAGATCACTTCTTGGCTGTGTAAAGTGAGTTAAGGGGGGGTCAACCATCAGGTTGCCCAACATTCAGAAATGGCCCACTGCTTATAAAAGCACTAAAAGAGCAGTTGACAGTTGGTGGGTGAAATTTAAAAAAACCTCTTTGCTGTTGCTTTGGTCCTTGTATTTTGTGTAGAAAACAATATATTGTCTGCAAACACTCACCAACTGCTTGCCAAGTAGTAGTAAAACTGAAAAGTGCAACTCAACATATTGGTTTTAGAGACTTGTAACAACTTTAGTTTGAAGGTCAACACTTGGCAAGGATTTACAGACAAGTCGGCATCTTTTATGCAAACTACGGGTGATTACACCAACCTACTAGTAAACACAGAAATCACAAGGAGCTTTTTGGCGCAGGGCTCTCTTTGTGACTGATTTCAACAGAAAGCTCTAGCATCCACCAGCTGGTCTGGGAATATTTTTTTTCTAGGATGTAGCTTCAGTTTTAAAATAAAGTTTATATGTCGTCATCTACAGGTAACTTTGTAAGAAAGCATTTACCCTAGGTCAGGGGTCAGCAACCTTTAAGACCCAAAGAGCCACTTGGACCTGGTTTCCACGCAAAAGAAAACACTGGGAGCCGCAAATACTTTTTGACATCTAAAATGAAGATAACACTGTATATATGTTGTTTTTTACCTTTATGCTTTGTGTGAACAACTAAGGTGTGTTGCTTATGAAATCCATGAAGTGCTACAGAGAACGTTACATTTTATTTATGTAATTAACACATTTTGAACTAAAGAAATATAACAAAAGGAAAGACACCCAGCTGAACTAAAATGATCCATGTAGCAAACAGAAACTGTTGTGAGCCGCCACCCTTATATCACCTTTGGGCTTTTGGAGCCTTGACCTGACTTTTAAAAAATAATTGGAAAAAAAGCACTATGCTGCTGAAAAATGAAAAATAGATATTTGCAAAATTCTGCCTAAATAAGTATTTTACCAGGTTAAGGTGTGTAGCGGGGTGTGGTCTGCAGCGCTGCTGCAGGGGAGGCGGTCGCACCTGAGCGGCACCCGCAATCACGCCTCGCCGCCTTAACGTCTGTGCTATCTATGCTATTGTTGGTGTGTGTCGGGCTGTGGGCTGAAAAGCTACAGCTGGCTGAATGCGTACAGCAACCGTGTGTGAAAAGTGGTCAATAAAGAGATGCTGAAAAGCATGTTCATGCAAACATCGTCGGGTCTGCCGTGTTTACAATGGGACTTCTGCTCCTGAACCTCTGTGCACAGCGTCTGCAAATCGGGGCTGTACGAAGTCACTTTCATCTTTGCGCAGGACTCTGTAAGCTGTCATCTGTGAGACGTGAGACGTGTTTGTTTTTAACATAGTTCACGGTGGAGAACAGCTGCTGACATAATGTGGATCCGAAGATCCATAATTGGCATACCTGGGGTTGAAAGTCTCGATAAATGCATGGCGTTTCGGCGGGTACACCGGCTTCCGTGAGTGTGACGCTTATTTTGAGCGATGAAAAAATAATAAAATATAATTTTATTTTTATATTTCAATATCACAATAATCTTCCAATTTAGAAGTACAAGTTAAAAAAAAGAACGAACATAAATAAAATACACTTCAGCTAAATACTTCTAATTTATTTTCCCAAACCACGCCGAGCCGCAGTATAAGTATAAGCCGCAGGTTGCCGACCCCTGCCCTAGGTGAATGTTCATTTTCTATATCGTGGTTTTAGTGTTTTGTCCATTCTTTATTTGCTTTCTGTAAAATAATTTTCTTTACTGTGTTCTTCTAATGCCACACAGCAGGGTAGGAAAGAGCAAGATAAGTACAATACCGTTATTTTGTTATAGATCATTTCCATTACTTTTAACTGAAATGTCACAGGTAAGTAGCCAGATGACTGACAGGTGCCAGTCAAGCTGAAAAAACATATCTGCTCTTAAAAACCTTCATTAACACACGTATAAGCACCCAAACGATTCTGCATATAGCGCATAAATAAAATGCTTGATTGTGACCTTTGCTTTATAATAAATTATAGTGGTGATGCATTTTTATCTTCCTGCTCTATTAAAACTGTTCTATAGACTTGTAATAGTACCCAGAAGAAGACTGTGCAAATGCACTGACTTTTTTTCTTATTCAGAAGTGAAATCAAATATTACTAAATGGGAAGGAAATCTATTACTACTTCTTTTACGAGGTGGACAAATGTGCTTTTGATATCTGGCCTTGAACGTCTCAAATGCCAGGGTGGAGAAAAATTGTAGAGTACTACATTTTCACTTTAGAACAATGTAGAATGCAAGATGAAAATACCTGAGATATTTAAAATAAACTGTTTCTGTGTGTGCTTACAGAACATCATCCCGTAGAGTATGCCATAGATGGAACCAATCGTTGGTGGCAGAGTCCGTCGATAAAGAATGGAATGGAGTACCACTATGTGACAATCACACTGGACTTGAAACAGGTAGAAAACACACATTCATTATGAGTGAAACGCTGTTCACGTACTTTCACTGCATGCCTCTTTTCTGTTTTATTTATTTATTTGTACTGAACCGGGTTACTTGTCTTTATCAGCTTGCATCATCAAATTTAAGCATTGATTTTCTAAGGTACAAAGTCTTAGAATAACAAACGGACAGCAGTTTCATCATTCGACAGATTCCTTTAGTGATGACACACGTGCATAATTCGCCAATATAGAAATAATGTCAGCAGACACCCAAGAACACACACAAGCACATATTATATAGGAGAAATGTACAACTTTTCCTCATTTTATACCTGATTGTCAGCACCCGGGGTACAAGAGACTAGGAGGTAGGAATCACAAGCCCTGATTTCTGTTTGCAGATACAGACGTAATAAAAGATGGTTGGGCTCACCTCGAAGTCACTCGCTGGTTGGCAAATCCAAATCATGTTACAAAGCCTTGAGTGTTTTCACCATCACTTTATGTTTTGAAATCAGATGTGACAAGCGAGGAGTGGATGTGAGTGTGAAAATGCATGCTCGTTGG